CCCACCCGAGGCTATCCTGTATTTTTTATCTTTTTCTCTCCCCTCTTTATTTCTTTTTTTTAAAAAGATTTATTTATTTATTTTGTATACATTGTTCTGCCTGCATGTATGCTTGCGTGCCAGAAGAGGGCGCCAGATCTCATTCTAGATGGTTGTGAGCCACCACGTGGTTGCTGGGAATTGAACTCAGGATCTCTGAAAGAGCAGCCAGTGCTCTTAACCTCTGAGCCAACTCTCCAGCCCTCCCCTCTTTATTTCTAACTAAGTCTCATATTCCTCATTCCTCAAGAGTCCCTGGGGTAAATAAATGTGGGGGCTGGTCCCCCGCAGTCATGGCAAACTAAGACAGCGCACGCCCTGTTTCCATGTCCTCTGCCCCTGCACTTGGAGGACAAGGGACATGACAGCCGTTGGTACTTGGTTGGCTTCTGTCTTCCGGTATATCTTAGAGGTTTCCCTGTGGCCGTTCCCTAGTCGACCATCGCTGCTCCTTCACCCTGCCCCTGCGCCCCATCTGCATACCCCTGTCCTTGGTCAGTGTGAGTTTGGATGAACATGGCCCCCATAGGTTCATATATTTGCATGCTTAGTCCCCAACTGGTAAACTGTGTGGATGGATTAGAAGCTGTGTCCTTGCTGAGGTGTGTCACTGGGAGCAGATGGAGGTTTCGAAAGCCCGTGGCAGGCCCAATCTCTCCTCTCTGTCTGTCTCTGTCTCTCTGTCTCTGTCTCTCTGTCTCTCTCTCTGTCTCTCTCTCTCTCTGCCTGTAGATCAGGATGTAGCTCTCGGCTACTGCTCAATCACCACACCTGTTTGTGTGCCACATGCTCCCTGCCATGATGATAATGGACTAAGCCTCTGAAACTGTGGGCAAGGCACCAATTAAATGCTTTCTCTTTATCAGAGTTGCCTTGGTCATGGTGTCTCTCCATGGCAATAGAACAGTGACTAAGACAGTCACCAAGTCCTCTAGATTCTAGTTGGGTTGCCCAGTGTGAGGCTACAGCAGGAAATGGAGGGGAGCAGGCAGACTGGACATGGCATTCAAAGCAGCCACATACCCCTCTGTAGCTTGGTGATGACCCCATCTCTCTCCCCACAGCGCCTGGGAAACCACCCCAGCTGCCACGGCCCTGCCCTGTCCACTGCCCTTCAGAGCCCCGTTTGTGGTGGAGGGGACTGCTGGGCCCTGTGCTCTGGGGCGTGCTGTTTCTCCTGTTTTTTAAAAACATTTTACTTTTATTTTAAATAAGGTGTACATATGTGTGTCTGTGTGTGGTTTTGCACATGTAAGTACTGTGCCTGTGGAGGCCAGACTAGGTTGCTGTCTCAGGTCTCTAGTGAGAAGTCTGAGATTATTTGTCCGCAGGGCCACGCCCCCTCACAAGGTTCTGGCCCAGTTTCTGGAGCTACCATGCTTAGGTGACATCCACCCCTAAGTGTCCATCTTTCCACCGAAGGACACTTGTCAGGAGATCTAGGGCCACTCCGATCTTCCCAGCTGATCTCACTTTTCAATCCCTTGTGACATGGCCGAGGACCCTTTAACACAGGTTCCAGGGGACCAGGACAGGGGCATCTTTCAGGAGGGGCCATGCTGACCCACCACACCGCCCACATTCTAGCTCACCCCCCTGGAGATTATCTTCAGTTGAATCTCTTGGAATGCCACCTCTGCCTCCTGCTAACTTCTCTCCAGACATAGCCACCTGGCTCCGTTCACAAACCACCCAGATGCCTGAAATATACCGGGCTCTGCCGGCAATTGGCATTCAATTAACAGCTGTTGATGACTCCACCTGGCTCCTGGTGGGGCGCATCGGGAAGGTGGGTCTGATGAGGCCTCTTTGGAAGCAAAACGTGGACCCAAGCAGGCTGCCTGGCTAGAGATTGGAAATCAGCTGAATGTGTTTTAAAAATTTCCTGAATGTGTATGTGTGTGTGTACACATGTGTGTGTGGTGCATGTGTGTGTGCACACGTGTGCTATGTGTGTTGTCCTCAGGGAGGTGATCCACCTCCTTTTGCAGGGTCTCTTCTGTCCTGGAGCTCACTAATTAGTCTAGATTGGCCGGCCACGGAACCCCAGAGATCCATCTATCCCGGCCTTCGACCTCCCCAGCACAGGAGTTCCAAGCAGGAGGCACCCCAGTGGGCATCCGTCCATGGGTCCTGGGTGCCCAGCCCCAGCAGTGACTTCGGCAGGCTCACAGTCTGATGGACACACGAGGTCCTTGCACCTGGGACTCCGCAAGGAAGATGCCGGTTCAGACACTGTGCTGGAGCTGGTCTTGGAGAGCAGAGGTGGGGTGGGTTCATAGACAAAGATGGCTACCTTCACCAGCCAACGGGGAGGTCCAAAGCAAAGCATCAGGCACAGCCATCAGGACAGGTGTGATTTAAAAAAAAAAAAAACATGAAAATGGTAGAACAGGAAGTGAGAATTTTTACACGCTACCCTCAGCAATACATAATGATGGGCTGGAGAGAGATGGCTCAGAGGTTAAGAGCACTGGCTGCTCTTCCAGAGGTGCTGAGTTCAATTCCCAGCATCCACAGGGTAGCTCACAACCATCTATAATGAGATCTGGTGCCTTCTTCTGGCATCCAAGCATATGCCCAGGCAGAAGACTGTATACATAATAAATAAAGATTTATTTTTAAGAAAAAGAGATACATAATGACGCAAACAGTTTGGAAAACTATTTGTTCACGAGTTCCTAAAGAGAGCTACATGTGAGCCAGGAATCCCACCCCAGGACCGTGCCCACGAGAAATGAAAACACATGTCCACGTAAAGACATGCACACAGATGTTCTCAGCAACATACTTCACAATAGTCACAGAGTCGATCCATCTAGATGCCTTCGGCTGAGGGTTAGATACACAAACGTACTGGGTTCAGACATTTAACACTAGTCGGGGGGGGGGGGGGAATGGAACAAAGAACATTTGGGAAGGGACATGGGTGGAGCTTGAAAACAAGATGCCAAGGGAAATCAGCCAGGAAGGGAACACGTCCATAGAGAGGTAGATTCTAGGTTCCCGGGGGGAGGGTGGGGGGAGAATGATGACAGGTGTGGGCCTTCTGTAAGAGGGGTTGAAAATGTCCTGGTCCTGTGCTTGTGTATAATGGTTTCTGATTTCGTGTTTCTAAGGTGTTGTGTGTGTGTTGGCTTCTTGTGTTTTGTCTTTGTTTTTTTTTTTTTTTGTTTGTTTTTAATTCTGATTTGTTTGGGGGTTTTGGTTTGCTTGCCTGTTTGCTTTCTAAAGAGAGAGCGAGAAAGGCCTGAGAGTTGAGTTGGTGGGGAGGTGGGAAGGATCTGGGAGGGGTGGGAGAGGGGAAACCATGATCAAAATACATCGTACGAAAAACATTTTTCAATAAAAATTTCCTAAGGTTGGTTGTGACGAGGATCGAAAGACTGTAAACACACTAAAGACCATCAAGTGGTACACTTTTTATTTATTTATTTTGTGTGTGGTGGGGTGCGTGCTGTCACATGCACGTGGAGGGAGGTCTGAGGACAGACTTGCTGGCATTGGCTCTCTCCTCCCACCACGAGGGACCAAGGAGTAAAATTCAGGTTGTCAGGTTTGGCCACAAGCTCCTTTACCCTACAAGCCATGCTACCAACTGGAATCACACACTCTAAGTGGGTAAATTGTGTAGCGTGTGAACTCTATCTTAATAAAGCCGCCAACAGTAACAACAAAGGATATGGGGAGGTGGGGTGAAATGTCTTTTAGAAGAAAATTGCAAAGGCTTTGGGGGAAGATCTGGGGTACAGCTGAGGCAGTGTGGTTATCAATAATAGATTGTGCCCTTTCTGGAGAGAAAACAGAGGTCCCCCTCTAAAACCTCTCCCACCTAAGAGCAGATCCAGCAAAGGCTCCGAAATGCATGTTAAGAACATGTTAAGAACTTAATAGTCTGATGCTCTTGTGCCCTAGGATAAAACCCATCTAACTGCAGCAGGCACAAGGCCCTCAGAGGCAAGTCTGGCCAAGAACTCAACCCCCAGGCTGGCAGATGAGGGGTTAAAAGCTCCCCAGAGAGCTGTGGGATGCCTGTAAGGTTGCCATTGAAGCCCTTGGTAAGCACTATGGGGCTCTGGGTTCTCATCTCTGCCTTTCTACTTAGAACCTACATGTCTTGAATCAAGCTGTTTCACTCATCAGGTCCCCGGTTCACCTGCCCACAAAACAGGGTGGTTATCGCCAGTACTCACACCCTGTACCAGTATCCACGGGGCATGTTCAGCCATTGAGTCAGAGCCTGGCAGTTTCTCTAAGCCTCCAGTTTCTCTATCCTAAAAAGGAAGCAAGGGAGCTGGTGAGATGTCTCAGTTGATTAAGGCCCTTGCCGCCAAGGCTTATGGTCTAAATTTGATCCCCGAGACCCACCAAATTGTCCTCTGGGGCCATCACATGTGAACCCTGGAACATGTTCATACATACACACACACACACACACATATATAGTGTGTATATATGTTCATATATATGAACATGTTCATACACACTATATATTCAACTGTATTCATATATAACATATATTCATATATGCACAATAAACAAATAAATGAATTTGTAAAAAGGTTTTGTTTTGGTTTTTGTTGTTTCAAAACAGGGTTTTTCTGTGTAACAGCCAGAGACCTCGCTCTGTAGACCAGGCTGGCCTCGAACTCACAGAGATCCGCCTGCCTCTGCCTCCGGAGTGCTGTGTGTGCCACCACCGTCCGACAAACAACAACAACAACAAAAGTTTTTCTTAAGCAAAAATCCCTACTCTTTCCCAGGGGTCATCCTGCGAGCGTTGGGCACCAGCGCCCCCTGCCGGCCTTACCAGGCATTGGCCTCTCCTCCAGGACCCGGAGGAGAAACTGCGCCTGCGCAGAATGCAAGCGCTGCGTTCTCCCCCCGCCCCCTCCCTCTTGAGGGTGGGACTTCCCCGGAGAAGCTCCAGGGAGGCCACACCCACTTCCGGGTGGACCCTGGCGGAGGCCACGTGACTCGCCAAAGATGGCGGCGCCCAGTGAGCTGGCGTGAAAGTTGTGGAAAGTCGGCGTCGCGGGGTTCGTGAATCAGAACCGAGGGGGACCCGGCAGCCATGTCGCGACTGATCGTGAAGAACCTCCCTAATGGGGTGAGCAGGAGCCGGGAGAGGGGTCCGGAAGCGAGGGCGGGGGTCCGGAGAATGAGGCCGAAGGATGGAGGGGTTTTTTTTTTAAGTCTGGTGCAGGAGTACGGAGGTCCGGAACCCAATGGGGGTTCTGACCGCTGGAAAGCAGGGAGAGTGGCTGCTATCGTTATAATTATCGCTGTTGATTGTTGCCACCTCGGGTGCCTGACTCCAAACCCGACAGTCCTGCTGCAGGCAGATGTCAGCCTCCACCTTATGCCTCGGACCCCGGTCCCCTCAATGCAGTTGTTGACCCGGGTGGATCCACGTGGTTCTCCTTCCCACTCCCGAGACGGTTGGGGGAAACAGGATGGGAAGTGATCCTGAGGACCTGAGTGACGGGAACGGCATTCAGTGGTTTCCCCTTAAGTGGAGACGGGGCATCCCAGCCGTGATCCCGGAACCTGGCACCCGGCAGGCAGGCATTCGGCAACTGCGTGCCATGCCGGGTAAAGGAGGAAGCCAACTCATGCATGTGGTGATTAGATGGGCACTCAGAGGACCCCTCCTTGTGGTGCTGGTTAACTTTGGTCAACTTAACCCAAACCGAAGTCACATAGGAAGAGGAAACCTCAACTGATGAATTGATTCCATAGGGGTTGCCCTGTGGACAAGTCTGTGAGACATTGATGAGTGACTGACATGGGGGAGCCCCGCCCACGGTGGGTGGTGTCACCCGTCAGCAAGTGCTCCTGGGCTGTATAAAAATTCTAGTTGAGCCGGGCGGTGGTGGCGCACGCCTTTAATCCCAGCACTCGGGAGGCAGAGCCAGGCAGATCTCTGTGAGTTCGAGGCCAGCCTGGGATACAGAGTGAGTTCCAGGAAAGGCGCAAAGCTATACAGAGAAACCCTGTCTCGAAAAACAAAAAACAAAAAACAAAAAAAAAAAAAAAAAAAAAAAAATTCTAGTTGAGCAAATAAGTCTGCAGAGTTCCTCCATGGTCTCTGCTTCAGTTCCTGCCTTGCCTTCTCTGGATGACAGACTGTGATTGGGACCCCTAAGCCAAATAAGCCGTTTTCCTCCCCCAAGTTGCGTTTGGTTTTGCTGTGTATGGGCAACAGCAGGAAGCAGACTAAAATACTGTTTCACTATTACAGAGCAAGCGCAGCTACGGACTTGTTTCAAAGCCAAGCGTGTTGGCACGCACCCGTTGTCAGCTTTCAGTGGGCTGAGGCGGAGGGTGGCAAGTTCGAGGCCAGCCTGGGTTACAGAGCAAGATGATGTGGCAAATAAATACATACATAAATAAATAATAAAATTTATTTTGGCTGTTGGTGGGGCCATATGCCCCTAGACCAGTGGTTCTCAACCTTTCTAATGCTGCGATCCTTTAACACAGTTCCTCATATTGTGGTGACCCCCCCCAACCATAAAATTATTTCGTTGCTACTTCATAACTATAATTTTGCTGCTGTTATAAATTATAATGTAAAGATCAGATATGCGCGTCCTTCAACGGGGGGTCGCGGCCCATAAGTTGAGAACCAATGCCCTGGAGCCCCATGAAAATCCAGCTGGTGTGAGAACGGTAGGAGCCAGCTGTCTACACTGTGGGACTTTTGAAGCCACATTATAGTGTAGAGCGTGTTAATTTCCGTGTTAATTTCCCATTACTTCCATGGTAAGGTAGTTGAAACAATGTTAGTATTTTGTTTGTGTTTTTTTTTTTTTTTTTATCGTCTCTGAGGTCAACGAGCCATGACAGCATCATGGCTGTGGGCTGCAAGGCTGGACCAGGCTGCCAGCGGATCTTCTTAGGCCTCTTCAACGTCTGCTGGCCATTGCCTTCTCTGACTCATGGCTGCTTCTGTCGCCCCCACCCTTCGAAGCCCAGAACAGTTGGTCTTCTGATTCTTTCCCTCTCATTTTCCCCCATCTAGTCTTCCCCACCCTGAGCCTCCTACCTCACTGATGGCATTGAAGTACCAGAAGATCCGGGATGCTCTCCCCCAGGGGGGTTTCAGTTTTGGAGGGTCTTTTGAAAAACAGGGTCTTAGTTTGTTGGCCAGGCTGACCTTGAACCTGCCGTCCTCCTCCTCCCTCTGCCTCGGCGTACCCAGCTTTCATCTTGGGGTTCTTTGGTTTTTGGAGACGGGGTCTGGTTAGTAGCCCTGGCTGGCCTGGAACTTGACATGTAGACCTGCCTATGCCTCCAGAGTGCTAGGACTAAAGGTGCACATCACCATGCCTGGCTTTATCACTTTTTGCATTTTTCGAGACAGGGTTTTGCTATGTAGCTTTGGAGCCTGTCCTGGAACTTGATCTTGTAGACCAGGAGGCTGGCCTTGAACTCACAGAGATCCACCTGCCTCTGCCTCCTGAGGCTGGGATTAAAGGCGTGCGCCACCACCGCCCAGCAGATTTTTAAGCATCTGAAAAACCCTTTTTTGGAATATCTGGGTGTGGTGGAGCACGCCTGTTGGGACTGGGAAAGGAGGCAGGTGGATCTGTAGTTTGAGGCCAGCCAGGGCTGCATACTCTCCTTTGCAGTGTACCATAGTGCAATCCCAGGTGCTGGGGATAAGGGTGTGAGCATCTTTTTTTTTTTTTTTTTTTTTTTTTTTTTTTTTTTTGGTTTTTCAAGACAGGGTTTCTCTGTGTAGCTTTGCGCCTCTCCTGGAACTCACTTGGTAGCCCAGGCTGGCCTCGAACTCACAGAGATCCGCCGGCCTCTGCCTCCCGAGTGCTGGGATTAAAGGCGTGCGCCACCACCGCCCGGCGGGTGTGAGCATCTTTAATGGGCTCCATTATTCTCTCCCATGGTTGGTAACCGTTTATACAGTTTCCCTTATCTATCTGTTTATTTGGACAAGCCTCAGCCACAGATGGATGCTGTAATTGATATGGTCTTCATAGGGAATAGGATAAGATAGAGAGCATGTGAGGTGCCTTGGGATCTCATTTCCTCACCAAAGAAGTGAGTAGCCTGCCTAGGGGTACTCAGCTGGTATCCGGTTCTGAGCTGGGACCTGGCCGCCCTAAAAATGTGCATGTTGCTGTCTGTTCATCTCAGGTCACCCTCCAGGACCTCTGGGCTTCCAGCTTGTCTGTCCCTTTGCTCTGGGGATCCCCATCTCCTCTTATTATGTCCCTTGTGCTCTAGATGAAGGAGGAGCGATTCCGGCAGCTATTTGCCGCCTTCGGCACACTGACCGACTGCAGCCTCAAGTTCACCAAAGATGGCAAGTTCCGCAAGTTCGGCTTTATAGGCTTCAAGTCGGAGGAGGAGGCCCAGGCGGCCCTGAGCCATTTCAACCGGAGTTTTATTGACACGTCCCGGATCACAGTGAGTCCGAGGGAGTCCCATCCCACCTGCCCTAGAGAGCCTGCCTTACTTCAGGGCTACGCAAGCTTTCAGGTGCCCAGGCATCATTCCCAGAGAGTCTGCTACCTATTCCCTGGGCCCTCTCCAGAGTGTCTGATGAGTTAAAGCGTTCAAATTTCACAGTACTCTTTTCTGTTGTCTGACCTTTGTGCCCTGAACACGTTATAATTATGGTAGAATGGATAGAAACAGTTACTTCTATGGGGATGCCACTGGGATAAAGTGGTTTGCTGACCAATAATAGCTTGGAATGTATGGGAGTGGCTCATGGGAGTGTCCTCCCGAGGCTGCCTGGCTGAGAGTGTATCTGAGGTGCCAGGGCTGAGGGATGCATCCATTTATGTGTGGTCCCTGACATTCTTCCACACTCCTGTGGTCATCTTGTTGTCCCTGTTACCCTGGACTTGTTTTCTGCTGTGACTGAGCCTGCCTCGTGGTAAACAGTCACCCTGACAGCCATCACTCCCTGTTGCCCCGTGCCAGGCAGCTGCCACCTCCCCGACATCGTTTGCTAGCCTAGGAGGTGAACGTGTACTCCAAATCCCCATGTGCCCTGAGTTCTGTCTCTGCTCTGTCGTCACCTGCTTCCTGGGCCACCCAATCTCTACTTTAACCTTTTGGTCTGAGCAGAGGGGACCGGAGCATTTCTTGTCACCTTCTACTAGAGAGCATGGGAGGCAGAGCTAGTCCTCTGGAAATGGCAGTGGCCAGGATGACTTTTGGAGGACGATGTCTAGGTTGGGTGATTCGCTTTAAATGCATTCAGCAAGTCAGTGACCACTGCATTCTGGGAAAACCGTGCTCCTGGTGCTGAAAGGGCACACACGTGCCTGGGTACCGACCGCAGCAGCTGTGGAAACCAGCCCTTTCCTATGCAGGTGGAATTCTGCAAGTCCTTTGGAGACCCAACAAAACCCCGAGCCTGGAGCAAACATGCCCAGAAGCCAGGCCAGCCCAAGCAGCCATCGCAAGGCTCCATTCCCTCAGACACTAAAAAAGTACGTTAGCGGTGCCCCCAGCCCTGTGCCCAGCGTTGGCAGGGTGGTCTCTGGCTGGCAGGGAGTTGGAAGTATCTTTTGGATGGTTTTGGAAGGTGGGTGCGCCCAGGGCAGTTCACTTCCGTCTTCCCTCCCCCATCATCGGTGTGACCCTGTCTGCCTTCCACTTCCAGGATGACAAGAAGAAAAAGGTGCCCAGTGACCTGGCGAAGGTGAATGTTGTGTGGGTGGCGAGGGAAGGCTGTGAACATCGAGAGGGTGGCGGGCTGGAGATCTGAGCCTCCTGAACCTCTGCCTCATCTCCCTCCTTCCTGCCCCTCCCACCCGGCTGCACTGCCACAGCTGAAGGAAGATGCCGAGTTCCAGGAGTTTCTGTCAATTCACCAGAAGAGGACCCAGGTGGCCACGTGGGCCAACGACGCTTTGGACACTGAGCTCCCAAGAGCAAAAACCAAGCCAACAAGTGACTATCTGAACTTTGACTCCGACTCTGACTCGGGGCAGGAGAGTGAGGAGGAGCTGGCTAGAGAGGAGCCTGAAGGTGAGTGTGTACCTCGGGTCCACATAGGCCTTTGCCTGGTCCTGACCTGATGGGCACAAGGACGCTTTGTGCGACACTCTCCGGTAACACAGGAAAGGGACAGCCAGGTGCTTCCCTCTAGCCATCTGGGGGATGAGTAGTCCACCCACAGGTGTCTCTCCCCCAGGCAGATCTGGTCACCTGACTCAGCCAGTAGTCACCGAGCATGTGCAGTATGTCAGGCACAGCTCTGGAGACTGTGGATACCGCAGTGAGAAAAGATCCCAAGAGTCCCTGTACCTGTAGAGTAGGCCTCCCGGTAAGAGCAGAGGGACGGAGGCAGGTAGTTCCCAGTGGAGCATGTGTGGTGACGGTGTGCCAGGGAAACAGTACAGGATGTGTGTGGGAAAGCTTCCCAGAAGGGCTCCTGTAGCTCTGGGGGATAGCGGTAGGGTATCTTGTCCTCATGGGTCCTGCTGTGACTGGTAAGTAGCCAATCAGAGCCCAGAGCATAGGCCCTAAGTGATGTGGTCCACCATAAGAGCTGTTCTGGTTTATCGGTGAGGATATGGGACTAACTCAGCTCAGCCTGGTAAAGTCTGCTGAGCTGAGGACTGTGGGACTGAGGGTGGAGAGGCCCAGGAAGTAGGGGAACAGCCTTGGAAAGGCTCAAAGGAAAGGATGGCCCAGGAGCTAGAGAGGCACAGCCTGGTTACAGGTTAAAGCAGAGGGAACCAGGGGAAGGGAGTTGGAACTCCACCCTGAGCACTGGAAACAGCTGCAGGGTGCTGGACAGAGTCACAGCCCCACAGTGTGCTCAGAGGGTCATGCAGGCTGCAGTGAGGGATGGCCGTCCTTCCTCTGCTCAGGAAGGCTTTTCTTTCCTGCTCCCTCCCCGCCAACCCTTGTCATGGAGTGTGTCACACCTTTGTACTTTAGTGCAAACTGTACACTGTTCACCAGGGACACCAAGAGTAAAGGACACAGACACAGAAGCCTAGTGTCTGACAAGGACTGTAATCGGCACTCGTGGATTTTGCCGAACCAGTAGATTATAGCGGCCTCTGCCGTGAGCTGTGTTGTGTGTATTATTTTAAGACTGTTGAAAGATGAACGTAAAGGGGGGACCTTGGGGAGCTGGGGAGATTGGCTCAGCAATCGCGTGCACATACTCCTCATCCAGATCTGAGTTCAGTTCCCAGCACCTACACACTGGCTCACATTTGCCTGTAACTCCAGCCCAAGGGACTCCAGTGCCCTCATCTGGCCTCTGTGGGCACTGCACTCATGTGCACACATCCGCACACAGACACACATGTAACTAAATCTTACAGGGGAGAGGGGGCTGGAGTGGGCCAGGAGAGTGAAGGAAGCGAGCGACACATCGCCATGTGTCACGGGCAGGGTGAAAGACATGCCCAGTCGAGTGTGGCCTGATTCGCCGCCAGCTGTCGCTCATCAGAGAATTGGCTGGAGTTGATTTGTGTCAGGGCCTTGGCCATGGCGGGCGTGTTGTCTCTGCCCGCTAAGTCGCTGACCCTCTGTATCCGCAGAGGAACAAGGCCTGCAGCCAAAGGCGGCCACACAGAGGGAGCTGTCCGACATGGACTACCTGAAATCCAAGATGGTGCGGGCCGAGGAGTCCTCCGCCGACGACGAGGATGAAGAGGACAGTGAAGATGAGGCAGTGAACTGTGAAGAAGGCAGTGAGGCTGAGGAAGAGGACGACTCCCCTGCCTCCCCAGCCCAGCAGGAGAGTGGGAGCCGGGGAGCCGTGCCTGGGAGCCAGAGACCTCAGGACGCCACTGGCAAGGTGTGTGTTGGTCTGTGAGGGCGGAGGGAGAGACTGGGCCTGGTCACCAGGGTCACTGCATCCCCTTCCCTAGGGGACTGACTTGGAGGGAAGGCCACTTGCCCGCAGGTTGTCTATGCAGCTTAGACTCCTGAACCGGTGGGGAAGGCTGCCCGTTGTCTGGAGTTGTGGGGTATCGATGAGCTGGATGGGTCTTGCCGTGTGTATTAGCAACAAGACAGATAGATGGGAGGAAGCTTTCCACTGCCAGATGAGGTCAGTGAGGGCTCACTGCACGCTGGGTAACATCCCTGGCAAATCACTGATTCTCATCACAGTCCTCTGCACAGGTGACGAAGCAGGTCTTGGGAGGGGCAGTGGCTCACCCACGGTGATGGCTGGGAGATGGTGGGGCCTGAAGCCGAGATTTCGAAGATGTCTGAGGCCTTGATGATGCCCCCCACCCCGTGTCCCACCAGGAGGTCCTCTGTGCTGTAGAGAGAGGACACTTGGACACTTGGGGGGACCACATCTCCTCCCCAGGGCATCCCATCTCCTGCCCTGCTCTTTGTTCTGCAGTGAGAGGCAGAGAGGCCTCCATTCCTCATTTCATTTGCTGCCAGTTCAGACCAACATGCCCGGTCCAGGTTATGTGGCAGTGTGGAGTTCACATCCCACACTGACTCTCAGTACCTGTCACCCCTGGGTGAGACACATCCACCCCGCAGGCCTCTAATCTCCACCTCACCTCATGGCGTGTGTCCCTGCGGTGCCAGGATTGGGTCATTCAGATTCATGAGGAGGACTATGGTATAGTCACTATTCATGCGTCCTTCAACTGAAGCCAGGGCAGCCCTTGGGGTTCATGTGGTGAAGGAAGTCGGGGGTACGCAGCAGCCCAGGACAGGCATTGCTGGGAAAGGAGTTCCAGTAAGGGCAGGTTTGAGCTTCAAAGGAGAAACCGAGAGCAGAGGCTCTTTGGAGTTGTTGGAACTCCAGAACTCTGGGCCTGATCTCAGCACCCCGGTGGAATTGCACTGCCCAGCTGGGCACCGGAAAGTGCTGGGCAGTGTGTGTTACAGGGCCAGCTCAGCCTCAGTGGTACTCTCTTTTTCCCCGGGGGCCAAGGCCTCTGTTGGTTTGCCGAAGGCTTGCCAGGCTCTACATGCAGCCCTCATGTCGGGTGCGGTAAAGACTCTGCAGCTGCCTCCTCCTCCACCTCCATCACCTCCACGGCAGGCATGGATTCTCGTGGCGTTGTCCAGCTCCCCCAGCAGCAGGCGCCCCTTCCAGCTCCAGGTCGTCCCAGCCGCCACCTGCCGTGTGGGTATCAGGTCCTCGCCCCAACCATTTTCTCTCCGTGATCACTCAGGTAGAGAAGCCAGCCGGCAAGAAGGAACCCACCACCCCCTACACCGTGAAGCTCCGGGGAGCCCCGTTCAATGTCACTGAGGTGTGTGTTCTTGAAGACGGGATGCGGAGAGGAGGGTGGGGTGCCAGGGTGAGGTGGAAGTGGGTGTGAGTGAGCTAGAAGTGGGCGTGGAGGCTGCTGAGTAACATCCCGGGCGCTGACATGGGAAGGAGAGGGATGGCGGTGTGAAGACTGGCCCCACCCCTCACATTGGCGCCCGGGTGGACAGGCTCACTGTTTAAAAGGGCGGGGGCACGGGGCTGGAGGGAGAGCTCAGTGGACAGAGTGTGTGCTGCGCAAGCACGAGGAACTCAGTTCAAACCCCAGGAAGGAAAAAACTAAGCCAGATCCATGGCGTTGAGCCTGACTTAACAGGCATAATGAGACCAGTCACAGGCGCTTATTTCTCTGCTTTGAGGAACTGAGGGGCAAGCACTCGGCCACTGAGCTATGTCCCTGGTCTGGTTGTTGGTGCTTGGAATCCTAAGAGAAAACGTTAGAAAATGTTAACTGTCCAGTTGCTAATTGTTAATTGTCTGATGAAGTATTTCACTTGTTAAAAAAAGTAAAAAAGATAGAAGGGGAAACACATTTCTTTTCCTTCCAGAAAAACGTCACAGAGTTCCTGGCGCCCCTGAAGCCAGTGGCCATTCGGATAGTGAGAAATGCTCACGGGAATAAAACAGGTAAGGCAGGCCATCCCGCACCACAGCGCCGAGGCTGCCCACCGCAGGCTGCCTTAAAGACACCCATGTCCTTTTTTGCCGTCTCTTGCCCTCAGGGCAGCATAGTTCGTCTGCAAAGACCAGGGTCTCCTGTCCCTGCGTCTGGTGGCCTGGTACAGTGACTCCTTTCTGGCCGTGTCTCCCTCCCTCTCAGCCTCTACTACACTGACAGGCTCACATGCTCTGTTGGTAGATGCGAACGGGTCCAGGGTTGGCTGCACTGTCCATGGGCACCTCTGACAGAGGACAGTTCTACCTTGTTGAGTGTGTGTGGCATGGCCTTGGGCAGTGTCTTCCCAGGATTCCACTCTGGTCCGCCAGGGTCTCCTGGCCTCAGAGCACTGGATTGGGCCATCATAAGGCAGAGAGTCTGGTGATGTGCCAGAGTTGGAGCTGGGGGAGGCCAGCACCTCTGGGGCCTACCTGCTGGCCAGGCCAGGAGGCTGGGGGAGATGGAGCAGCGGGAATGTAGCCACATCTTGCAGAGCCACGCCAAGGCCCTGTGGGGTGGGAATCCACAGCCTTGGCAGGAAAAGGCCACCTGGGCAGAGCACTGGGGGATAAAGTGCCCATGCACCAGGGACAGTCAGGTCACTGTCCCATGTCCCGTTTTTTCCCCAATGCCCCTCTTGGCTTTGTCACATCTTGTACCAAGCCAGTTCTCCTCACGTTTAATCCTGAAGAGGGCAGTGGGGGGGAAAGGGGCTCCATCCCAGCTTAGCAGCACAGGGGCCGTCACCTCAGTCCCTGTGTGCAGTGGGATGGGCCTGTCACCCAGCAGTGAGGGGCCGAGGGGCTGACACTGAGAGCGGCCTTGCCCACTCCATGAGAGCTGCTGCTATGGGTGGTGCCCCTGGCTTACAGCACTTTAGAGACTGGGCAGGGAGCAGAGAAGAGTGTGTCACAGCCGAGAGAGCCCACTGGGTCTGCAGCTGGGAGACACCAGCATGGAACATGGCGCTCTCAAGGGCAGCCAGTGGGGCTGTGAAAGAGCTGGGGAGTGGGGCTCAGCCACGTAGGGACTTCAGTCAGTGTGTTCTCCAGCATAGGTCCGTGGGGTTGGGGCTGGGGACGCCATAATGGTCCCTCAGCTGGTCTGGCAGGGTGTGGGCCAGTGCCCCCCGGAAGGCTCATGAAGAGGGTGAAGTAGGTTTGTGGGTAGGTGACATCCCTGCAGAGAACAGAAGAGAGAACAGAAAGAATTCTTAAGGGTTCGTGTGGAAAACCCTTGGCCTTTGGGCCACATTGTGGCATTGCTGTCAAGACAGCCGTGTGACATCGGGCATGTGACTTAACTCCTCTAGGGAAGGGGTGACCCTGCTCTACCACCTCACACCGTCAGGCTCCCCCTCAGGAAGGATCCCAGGCCTGGTTCTGAGCTCCAGGGACAGTGGTCGTGGAGGTGGCCCTGACTGCTGAACCGTCTCCAGAGACTGTTCAAGAATAGGGTGGGGCTGGCACGGGCAGGAAGGCCATGCTATTCACTCCTGGGATCCACATCTCCATTCACAGCCAGCCCCCATGGTCTGAAGCTGCTGGAGGGTGTGGGGGTGTCTGTATCCTGGGGGGGGTGACAGACAGGTTTCCCAGCTCTGCCTGTGACTCTGCTTGTCACCGTCCTCTCTCAGGCTATGTCTTCGTGGATCTCAGCAGCGAGGACGACGTGAAGAAAGCTCTGAAGTGCAACCGGGAATACATGGGTAAGGGCGCATGGGACACCAGTGCAGGCCGTCCCTAGGCTGACTGCACGTTGGTGCTGAGATACTTCCGGGCCCTGGGGACCCAGCAGGGAGCAGAGAGTCCACAGTCCCTCCCTCTGGAGCAGCCACCGAGTGGACACAGGGAAGGGTGGGAGAAGTGGGCACCTAATGCCTTTCTCCTGAGTGGTGTGCAGAGGGGCAGGCTGCGTTGACCTGAGCTCTGGCTCCCTGGAACAGCTTTCTGGTCTCGAGAACAGCCTGTGACGCTGGCTGACTTGGGAGGTCACTGGCCTTACCCACCCAGCATGGTCAAGTGGCTCAGAGGCAGGGGTGGGCCGTTGACAGAGAAGAGTCACACTGAGGGAGGATGGGAGGGAGTCCTGTAAGCAGGTCAGGTGATGGTTCCTGATGGAGCACCGAGTAGAGGAGGAGGATGGGTGCCGGGTGAAGCGGGTGGGCACCTGGCCTGAGTGGTGCATGCCATGGTTCACTCGCTCAATGTCCCGGGTCGGGTTGTCATGTGAAGCCTTCCCAAGGCAGATCAGCCAGTGGGGGGAGTGGGGAGGCCCCGGAACCCAGCTGCTGACTCCTGCCGTCTGGGATGGCCCTGCAAGCTCCCTGGGGCTGTGGCAGCCCTGCCAAGGTGAGCGCGATCCCAGTGGATCCGGCTGCAGCCTGGGGAACCGTCTACTGCAGACAGGATCATATGTAGAGACAGCAGGCTCTGGACAGCAGCAGAGCAGAGGCTAAGGGACTCTCGGGACTCTCGGGAGGCTCGGCCACCCTCGGACACCCACAGCCATGACCCCTGTCTTCATGCAGGTGGACGTTATATCGAGGTCTTCAGGGAGAAGGCCCCCACGGCCCACGGTCCCCCAAAGAGCAGCTCCACACCCTGGCAGGGCCGCACGCTCGGGGAACATGAGGAGGAGGAGGACCTGGCTGACTCTGGGAGGCTCTTCGTGCGGAACCTGTCGTACACCAGCTCCGAGGAAGACTTGGAGAAGCTGTTCTCTGCCTATGGTGGGTCCTGCCTCCAATCAGTCCTGGGTGGTATCTGCATCCATCAGCTAGAGACTTCTCTGTAGAAACCCCGCACCTCTACCATGTGGACGGGCCTCTCTTTACTCTCTCAGAATGTGGAGTAGATGGGAGAGTGGTGTCTCCCTCAGACTGTTCACACTGCGGTCCTGTCCTTACTAGACACCGAGGCACCTGGCTGTCAGAAGTCTTCTTTGTTTTAGAAACAAAATCTTGCTATATAGCCCAGGCTGGCCTTGAATTTGCAGCAATCCTCCTGCCTCAGCCTCCTGAGTGCTGGGATTAAAGGCGTGCGCCACCACCGCCCAGCATGTACTACAATATATTTTTTTTCTTCTAAGATGGGGTTTCTCTACGTAGCCCTGGCTATCCTAGAACTAGCTTTGTAGACCAGGCTGGCCTCAGACTCACAGAGATCCACCTGCCACTGCCTCCCCAGTGCTGGGATTAAAGGTGTTTGCCAACACCGTCCAGCATGAGGGTGGTCTTTTTGTTGCTGTGTGATGCTGTTATTAAAGGGAGCCTTCATCTCCTCCAGTCTGAACTCCAATTCTTGCTTTTAAAAGAAAATTCAGATGCAGCACGCACGTCAAGCAGTCAGGGGTTTAGTTAGAATAACAGGAAGCAGGAATACCTACCCGTTAGCAGTGAAGGACCCGAGCCCAGCAGCAGTGGTCCTGGTCCTAGTAGTTCTAGCTCCCTCCTCCTCTGCTCTCTCTTCTCTGTGCTTCCCCCAGGGTGAGCACTCCCAGGAGAAGGGCACGTTCTCCTTAGAAGCCCGGATCTCAGGCTGTTGTAAGTAGATGCATTAACTATAGCCGGGCACAGAGACACACACCAGCACTCGGGAGGCAGAGGCAGGTGGATCTCTGTGAGTTCCAGACCAGCCCGGTCTCAAGGGAAAAAAAAGATACAGGACTATGCCAGGGAGTTAAAGTACCCCTAAACTTGAAGAGTTCACTAGGGGAAAGGTTAACAGCCCTCTGTACACGTGCTCCCCTTGCGAGGACAACCCTTAAGCCAGCTTGAGCTGTCTCAGCCAGTTGACCAGTTCTGAACCCTGAGCTGGCTTGGCTAGAGAGACCACCACTATGTCCTTTGTGTCCTGTTTTGGGGACCAGTTGGGCAGTCCCTCCCAGAGCTAACTTGGTTACTAGCAGTGCTGGGGCTGGACCCAGGCCTTGCGTGCGACAGGCAAGCACTTGGTCACCGAGCTGCACCCCAGAGCAGAGGAACTGTTCTTCCTGTTGCCGCTGTTGTGGTTTCTTATGCTGAAAACTCACCGGCCAGCGGGTCGTCTGGTCACGGGGCCGTGTTTGCCCGTGGGGGGTCAGGATTATTACACAAAGGGCAGCAGGGCTCTAAATGGGACCGAGACTGTGACACTTGCAACATGCCTGAGGTAGCTCTTCCAAGGACAGCCTGGGTGTGGAGCTTCAGAGACAGGAGGACCAAGGAGGGACGAGGAGGGGGACTCGAGAGCAGACAGGGTAGTGAAACCTCCCATTGTGCCCAGACTGGACAGGAGAGGGATTGTCTAGACTGTAGGTGTCCGTTTGGGAAGACAGAGGCTCATGGTAAGGACATGATGGTCCCTGTGTTCAGAGTGGGAAGCACTGCCTAGCTTGTGTGGTGATGCCATGGTCCTTCCATGCCAGCACCTGTAGGAGGCACTCTTTCTTGGCTGCACTCATGTGTTAGCACAGCTCACCCCACACCTCTCCTGTGAGCCAGGGGTCTTGTGACATTTTACAGGTGAGCAAACAGTCCTGTGCGTGTTAAGTGACATGTCCGTACAGGGACAAGGGAAGGCCACGTATAGAGCAGGTAGCAGAGCAGGTCTGTAGCCCACCTCCCCTCTGAGGATTGACACACAGAGTGCCTTTAACACTGGGCTGGTAAGCCGACTGGCACTCGCCATGCTCTCCTGTGGGACCCAGCCACCTGGGCTGGTCCGCAATAGCCATTTGCTGATCTCACCAGTCCAGACCTTTGCCTGGCCAGGGCCCAGCACGAGTGCTCTGGCCCACGGCTGACTGACGTCTCTCCCATCTCCAGGTCCCCTGTCAGAACTCCACTATCCCATCGACAGCCTGACCAAGAAGCCCAAGGGCTTTGCCTTCGTCACCTTCATGTTCCCTGAGCACGCAGTGAAGGCCTACGCTGAGGTGGACGGGCAGGTATTCCAGGTACGTTTGCTCAGGACTAGTCGGGCTGCTGGGCTCAAGGGAGCAGGTAGGGGTGTGTGTGTGTGTGTGTGTGTGCGTGTGTGCGTGTGTGTGCGCGTGTGCGCGCGTGCCCTAGTCCCAGGCTGCTTGTTTGGCTTATTTGTTCATGGTTTATTGATGTCATTGTTATCAGGCTAGACCTGCACCCACCTGTGTAAGCCTCATGTTCTCTCACTGTGTAGGGACAGACAGGACAGGACAGGACAGGATGCAGGTTTGTGGGGCTGGGGGGCTGCAGCTGTGCTTTGTAAAGTAAACAGTTTCCAGAGCTGGAGAGATGGCTCAACAGGTAAGAGCACTTCCTAGGCCCACAGCACTCAGGAGGCAAAAGCAGGTGGATCGCTGTGAGTTCAAGGCCAGCCAGGGTTATATAGTGAGACCCTGTCTCAAAAGACGAGAACAAACAAAAAGAACAGAAAAGAAAAATGGACATTTCCTGCTCTTCCAGAGGACCAAAGCTCAGTTCCTAGAAGTCATGTTGGACCAGCTGTAACTCCAGCTCCAGAAAAATCCTACACCCTCTTCTGGCCTCCAAAGGCACCAGACACAAACGGTGCACATACACACACTCAGGCCCAGGCACACACATGTCTACGTAAATAAAGTTAAATCTTTTTAAAGGTGAACAGTGTCTCCTGCACACAGTGATGTCAGTTGGCCTCACCACAGTGACAGGCCCCTGTGTCACGTGGGCATCTAAAACTTATAAAGAAAGAGTTTATTGGGGGCTCCCAGTTTCAGAGCGTGTCTGACCACATGGTGGGGAGCATGACGACAGGCAGGCACTGGACCAGCAGCTGAGAGCTTACGTCTGCATCCACAAGCACGAGGCAGAGAGAGAGAGAGCTAACTGGAAATGGTGTGGGCTTTTCCAACCTCAGAGCCTGCCTCCTAATCCTTCCAAATAGCTCCGCAAACTGGGGACCCGATGTTGGAATCTGTGAGCCTGTGTTCACATCCTCCTCCCATTCCCTCCAGGGCAGGATGCTCCATGTCCTACCTTCCACCATCAAGAAGGAAGCCAGCCAGGAAGCAGATGCCCCCGGATCCTCTTACAAGAAGAAGAAGGAAGCCCTGGACAAAGCCAACAGCTCCAGGTCCTAGTCAGCCCACAGTGGCCGCTGCGCCCCAGTCCCAGGGTCCACTGCCCATGGCCTCTTTCACTCTTCCTGGCGCTCCTGGTCCCTGACTTCTCAGGGCCTCAGTTTCCCTACTTGCGGGGTGCAGAGAGCAGACACAGCGTCTCCCCACCACCCAGAGCACAGTGTGGATCGTAGGAGAGAGTGTGTGCAGAGTCCCTGCCCCAGCTCGGGCTGAGACTTGGCTTGAGAGCCCGTTGGTGCCCTCCTCAGTCTCCTAGTCTTCAGGCCTGGTGGACTTGGCCTGTGGGAGGGAGTTGGAGGGAGGGCCCACCATGTGACCTCTGTCCTGCCCCTGCTCCTCAGCTCTCACAACTGGAACACACTGTTTATGGGACCAAATGCCGTAGCTGACGCCATTGCACAGAAGTACAACGCCACCAAGAGTCAAGTGTTTGACCATGTGAGTGACGGGCCTCCGTGAGTGTTGTTTATTTCATAGCAGCTCTTTCCCAGGCCAGGTGTCTGGACCTGGACAGCTGCTGAGCTACCCTAGGCCAGACCTGAGGTGGGAGCACACTTGTCGCCCTGACGGCGAGGATGCCTGTTGATTTTGCTCATAGCTCCACCCTCCCCCCCCCCCCCTTGTCATTTCCCCATCCCCAAGACATGGGTCAGCACTGTCCCTGGACACGGAGCACACCACCACAGATGAGGTAGTGATCGTGTTTCAGAGAAGCAAGGGGAAGCGGGCAGGGCTCATTTTCATGACATCTAAAGTCAGCATGTCTAAGGTACTGCTGTTAGAACATGTGCCCAGTATGAGAACAGCCTGAGCCATCTTTCCCCCTCTGTCTGCTGCGGGCGTGTATTTAACACTTGGCACGGGACCGAATTGAGCGGGCCACATTTTAGTGGCACTGGCCACAGCCCGACCGAAGTGAAGAGGGACTGTTGCTGTGGCTCAGATGTCAGGAGCCCAGCGGTGCCCAGGACAGAAGGGGACCGGCTCTTCTGGTGCCTTCTAGTGGAGGGAGACACAAACGAGGCTGGCGTAGGAGCTGGCCGAGGCTGAGGCGGGTGACTCTGAAGCCCCCGCAGGCAGTGAGCTGAACGAAGAGCACCAGGACATCTACCTGAGGAAAGCCAGGGAAGGACGGGCATTGTGAGCCATGGGGACGAGGCAGAGCTGGAAAAGGACCAAGGGGTCCAGGGTTTACTGCACAAGTCCAGAGCAGTCTTAGTCCTGGGAGCCTCCAGTGTGGAGGACGATGGGTGTGGACCACATGCATTTCCCTCTTAACCACCTCCTGACACCACCAGGCCTCTTCTCCCGCAGGAGACCAAGGGCAGCGTGGCTGTGCGTGTGGCTCTGGGGGAGACCCAGCTGGTCCAGGAGGTCCGCAGCTTCCTTATCGACAATGGCGTCAGCCTGGACTCTTTCAGCCAGGTGAGTCTTTACTGCATACAGTGGGTCTCTTAATGCTCTAAGCCAGTGGCTGTTGCAGAGCTGGGAAAGGGTTTCCCGGGAGGCTGGAGAGATGTGGATGGATCTTGTGGGTGATGGGAGCCTGAACCAGGAGGAGGCCTGAGGAGTGGCCCCTCAGAATATCCCCTCAGAGGGTAGGGTGTACCCAGCAGTGAAGGTCCCCGGCTATTCCTGCCGTCTACACCTGGGCAGCAGGTCTGCGCTGCCAGGAAGGAGTCTGGGCACTGAGATGTGGCTCTTGTCCTTTGGAAGCCCATGGGGCCACCCTGGGAGTGCCAGTCTGGGTTGAGGTTGGGGACTATTGGAATCTGTGGGGCTTGGGGTGATTTGGGGGAGGTGTGGTTCGGGAGCTGTCTGTGGGGCATGGAGTGAGCAAGACATCAGCGTGTGAGCTCCCTTCCCCCGCCCAACCACTCAGCTCTGCTTTCCAAACCTGTCCACAAGGGGCCCTGATGGGGCCTCTCTCCTGGAGGCCACCACCAACGGTCAGTGCTGAAACCGTGCTGAGGTGACCGTCCTCTTGTCCCACACACGTTCATCTCTTCCCCTCAGGCCGCAGCAGAGCGAAGTAAGACTGTGATCCTGGCTAAGAACCTCCCAGCAGGTACGCTGGCAGCGGAGCTACAAGAGATCTTTGGCCGCTTTGGCAGCTTGGGCCGCGTGCTACTGCCTGAAGGTGGCATCACGGCCATCGTAGAGTTCCTGGAGCCCCTGGAGGCCCGCAAGGCCTTCAGGCACCTGGCCTATTCCAAGGTATGGCCGCTGATCTTGGTGGGGCCCTAGAGGGACACCAAGAGCTAGAGTCGCCCTCAGGCTGGCGTGAGCCTGGCACACATAGACTCTACCCAAACCCACATTCCCTCTTGGAGCTTTGCCCTGCTCTGGCCATGAGCTGGCCATCACTGCGGTACCCGAGGCTGCCTCCTGACTTCTGAGTAAAGAAAAATTAATAGGTGTGAGCTTCCCGGGCTAGTGTGACAAGTGGCCACCAACTTGGTGGCATCAGACAGCCGAGTCTGGGCTCTCCAATGCTGGCAGCCAGAAGCCGAAGCCACCAAGCAGCAGGTTCTTTGCCTCAGCCAGATGCAGGGCAGAGTCTGTTCCCTACTTTTCTTGCTTCTGATGGTCCCGGTGGCCCTTGGCCTGATCGTCACTCCAATCTCACCCGGTCACCTTTGCTCATCCCATTCCTCCTTCTGGATTTTCTTTTCTTTTTCTTTTTTCTTTCTTTCTTTTTTTTTTTTGGCTTTTCAAGACAGGGTTTCTCTGTGTAGTCCTGGCTGTCCTAGAACTCGCTCAGTAGACCAGGCTGGTCTCAAATTCACAGAGATCTGCCTGCCTCTGCTTCCCGGGTGCTGAGATTATGGGCATGTCACACACACACACACACACACACACACACACACACACACACACACACACACACACACACACACACACACACACCCCGGCAGGGGCTACTTTATGAAACTAAGAGCTGCCTGCCTCTGCTTCCCGGGTGCTGAGATTATGGGCATGTCACACACACACACACACACACACACACACACACACACACACACACCCCGGCAGGGGCTACTTTATGAAACTAAGAGCACACCTAGATAGCACAGGACAGTCTCACTCCAGGATCTGCTTCATATTGCCAAGGTCACAGTCGCAGGCTTCGGGGCTCAAGGTTAAGACGTGGCTGTGTCTTGGGAAGCCACCATTCAGCCCAGGACAAGGAATTTCTGTCTGTCTGAGACTTTTATTCATCTCTCCAGACTGTACCCTGGCATCTGGCTATATGAGGGGCCCTGGGCCCGGCCAGTGCAGGAAAGACTCTGTGCCTGGCTTCTCGTGGCTCTGTCACCTCTGACCCTCAGGCCCTTCTGTCAGGTGGCACTGAGTCTCACAGCCAGCTCTGTGACGGGAAACCTACAACCTGGGCACCCCTGTCTCTGCAGTTTCATCATGTCCCTCTCTACCTGGAATGGGCTCCAATTGGTGTCTTTGGCGCAGCCCCCCAGAAGAAAGATTCCCAACCTGCACAGACTGCAGAGAAAGCCGAGGCAGAGCCAGAGACAGGTAAGAGCCGAGTCTGGGGTCACCGTGCCGTGGGCACGACGGCGAGGGGCAGCTGAGACTGTCATTAGGCCACTGGCCAGATGTCCTTCATCCTTCCTGCAGATAGATTGCGTCAAACGCCCTTTAAAAAGTGGACCATTGGGGTCCTGTCGCACGAGGTGGCCAACTTTTAGTTTCTTGGTGGAAGGTTATGGGGACAGGATCTTTGAGTCTATTGACAGGGATGAAAGAGGCTGTGGGAACCTTGTCTCCATCACCGAGGTGGCTGCTGGTAGAGATGATCCCTCTGTAGCCGCTTGGGTATCACAGTGCCCCCTGGTGTCCTGTGCCTGCATGGTCAGGAGAGGAAAAGGCTGTGGTCCCCTTAGCTGGTGCCTCACTCTGGGGAGGGGGTGGGTGCATTGTTGCCGGCAGGGCCAGGATAGCTCTCCCCGATCCAGACTGGTGGCTCAGGAGTGCCTGTCACTCTGAGAACCTGAAGCATCTGGGTAACATCCCAGGTGCAGCCTGGGCAGTGGAGCCAGCAAGTGTGAGGACTTGTCCTGAGACGGCTGTGAAGTAGGGGACTGTGGCAGTCAAGATGTTGTGTGGAGTGTATTGTCTTTTGTTTGACATTCTGGTGTAGCTCAGGGAGGTCTCAAACCTCCCGCATAGTCGAGGATGACCTTGAGCTTTGGATCCTCCTGCCTCCACTCCTGAGTGCCAGGACTACAGGCTGGGGTCATAGGTGTGTGCCACCACACTCCATTTCCTGTGGTCTTCGTACATTAATGTGTATGGGCATAGGAATATATTGCAGCAAGAAAAGAAAAGGCAGGTAACGAGGTTGGCAGACGGGGGTTCGGATCCTTGCCCAGGTCCAGTGACGTCTCTGCTCACTGTCCACTGAGGGTCTGCCAGATGCCGTAGTTCCAGATGGGAAGTCACTTCTGTCTCTGCCCTTTGACCCTGACACTTTCTGGTTGTCAGGTTCGTGTAGCTGCTGAGACCTTCTACATACCCTTTCCTAGCGTCTGCTAGGAGGCAGCATGTTGTCTGTTGAACCAGAGGTTCCCTGAAGCCTGCTCATGAAAAGTCAAGACGTCCTGCTCACAGTCCTTCGTTTGTTTTTTCGTTAGTGTTGGGGTTTGGAACCTCAGGCGGTGGATGGTCTGCAAGTGTTTAGCTTTGAGCTGCCTACCTCTGCCTGGGTTAGTTCTAACCCCAGGTCACTCCAGACCTCCACTGCCTTCCTTCTTGGCTCTGTACTACACCTGAACCTGGGTGCTACGTTTTGGCATAAAGCAAACACTCATTGTCAAGCATGAAAAGTAGCCAGGGCCTGGGTTGCTGAAGACACACTCTAGGAGGCCCATCTCCTGGCTGGGCAGCAGTGTCGGCCTGTGAGGACCACCCAAGAAGATGTTGTGTGGCTTTGCTCACCTGTCCTGACGCAATACCCCCCAGGTGATACTGGAATTTGCACTCTAGTTCTCCCTTTTCATTTCTGTCTTGGCCAGGTTATCAATGCACTGCAGTGCTCAGCATCCCGTGTGCTCAGCATCCTGTGCAGCTGTAGGTGTAGGGTAGGACGGCTGCAAAGATAGATGTCAAAGCAGTGAAAACTGTGGGAAGGATGTGACTCCATCCCTCTGCAGGGAGGGCTGGGTTACGGTGGTGCTTGTGTCCTGAGCCTCTGGCACCCGTGAGGTTTGAAAGTGGCTTCAGGTGTTTGGTGACCCCAGCCAGTGAGCGGTCAGTGACATTGAGGTGCGAAGGTGACTTTAGGTGATTGTGACCCGAGCCCGTGAGTGGTCAGTGGAATCCTGAGTTACAGTTACAGCAGTAACACTGTTGTGAGGGAGATGCACTTGCTGTCCAGTGCATGGGCAGCCCTCTGTTCCTTGCCATTCTCTGAGCTCTGTCTTTGTGTCTGCAACCTGGGTGATGGCCGCCAGGATGACCAAGGTCACTGTTGTCACCCACAGGCTGGGAGCCAGGTGGCATCACCCTAAGTGCTCTTGTAGCCACCCACACAGAGCTAGCTCACCAGAGCTTTTAGCTGGCCTGGTGGGGGTGCGGGGAGGGGGCGGGCTGAGTAGTGCCCATTGTGGCCTTGGGTGCAGACATTGCTCTGGAGCTGGAGAGGTCTCTTGACACCGGTGTTCAGGGTCTGGAGTTGGTGCTCTGTTGCCTTGTCCCCACCAGGCTCTGACCCTGGGAAGGGTTGGTACCAAGGTCCTCAGATCTAGAAGGGCCCAGCTACCCACCCAGATTTGGACTGGGAAGCTGTACCTGGCTGAACCCCTGCCCAGCCCGCTGCGTCCACATCATCCTCACTGCCACTTCCTAGAGCCGTCTTGGCCTCCTGAGGCTCTTCCTTGTTTTACTACACAGTCCCTTTTCTGTCCCCAGTCCCCTGAGTTTCGTCCTGCGCCCCCTGCCCGCCTCCTCGCCCCCTGTCCGCCTCCTCGCCCCCTGCCCGTTGCACATTGTTTCTGACCTACCACCAGCTCCCGCATCCCTGTTGGGTGAGGACCTAGAGTGCTGGGGACCCAGACTAGGATTTCACAGGCAAGGAGGAGGGGGATGGGCAGGCTTTTCCCGGCCCCCCTGCTTTTCTGCAGCGAGCTTCTGTTCCCTGCATGGGTCCCGAGGGAGAGGAACAGCGTGTTTTATCTTCCCACAGCCAAGACCCTCACCTCCAGATAAAGGGCTGCGAGTCATGGGGAGGTCCCACAAAGCTGCTTGCTGCTGATAACAGGCAGTCCTGTGGGCCTCCCAGGAGCCCCGAGTGGGGAGGGGCAGGGGAATCCTGCAGCCTGATTATAGTGACGCCCCCTGTGGCCACCCGTGACTGGCTGTCATTGTAGTGACTGAGGTGGAGGCGGTCTTTTCTTTGCCCCTCTGGTCTCTGTAGCCCACCTTGCATCTCGCTTCTCACCGTGACCCCCGCTCTTGCCCAGCCTCCGCCTTTCTTACCCCTTCCCTCTCTCTGGTTCTTTTTTTGTCTTTCTTTTGTCCCTCGGGGCTAAAGCATAAGCAGTGTTTAAAAAGACCTTGTTCTCATCCCCGTGGTCCTCAGGCCTCCTCCAGCCCTTCCTTGGGCCCCGGCGCAGTTCACGGCAGGGCTGGTGGTTAGGTATAAGGTCAGGTTCCCTGGATGTGTGATGCCAGCAGGCTTTCTCAGAACCCCACAGAGAGGAGACGGGGTGTGTGGGGGGGGGGGGCTAGGGGATGTCACCTCAGAATTATAGGGACTCACAGCTTTTCCTTCAGCAGCTGCAGGAGGCCCGCCAAGCAACGGTCATCTTGGATGCTTGTAGCAGGCGGATTCCCTGGTCTCTCCTTGATCTTCCTCAGACCCTTCTGCAAGCAGAGCCTCTGTTGACCCCCTTTATAGAGAAAGAGGGAAGCCCGGAGAGGTTGCAGGGCCTGAGTTATGGATGTCACACATGTGGACAGTGTATGACTCAAAGTAATCAGGCCAGTGTCTAAGCTTATGTCTGTGGCCCCACAGCCGCTCAGAAGCACAGTCAGCGTGGTTGCTGGCCCTGTGTTCCAGCCACAGGCTGAGTGTGACAGCCTCATCTCCACAGGTGTTTGGGAAGTGCAGATCATTATCCCAGCCCCACGCTTGGTGAGCTCCCCTCATACTTGAGACACACAGACATGAACCAGAGGGGAAGGTGTTTCACAGTGGGGCCGGGACTCTGAAAAGAAGAAGCTAGAGGAGAGTAATAGAGACTAGCTGAGTCCTTTGTAACACAGTAGGCAGGAAGAGCTCTCAGGGAGAATGCTTGTGCTGTGACCTGATGGGGATCTAGGAGATGAATAGAGTGGGCAGGGGCAGCATGTGCAAAGGTCCCCTGGCAGGTGTGGGTTTGGTAGGCCTGGCAGTCACCAAAGAGGCCCACACAGTTAGTGTGAGCGGAACAGAGAGAAGCCAGGGATGAGGCCTGAGTAGCTGATAAGCCAGGGGCTGGCGCCAGGTGGGGGACCAGCACCCAGGTATCCAGTGACAATATCGAGGCATGCTGATGAGGTCATGGGCACATGTGCTTCAGAACAGCCCGGTGCTGGGTGCAGGAGTATGTGTACACATGTATACTGTGTGTAAGTGTGTGCATATGCATGCATGTGTCCCCTATGCCTGTGCACTGTGCTCAGTCTCATTAAACGCCACACTAAGACAAGGTGCTAAGGTAGGGATTCGGCCACTGGCCCCTGCACAAATTAGTGCCTGGCAGAACCAGTATGGCCTGCACACATGTCATAGCCCCAGTGTGGATCGGGATAAGCGTAGGGAGGCTGGTAGCCCTGTCTGAGCTGTGGGAAGAAGGCCTGTAGTACCAAAGCGTGTCTTGCATTTCCAGTGGGGTGTCCTTCCTGACGTTGGGGGAGGGTGTAAGTTGACTCATTGGGAGTTGGGGCGGCCATTGTAACTGTTTTGGCCAGACCAGCTGCACACATATCAGTAGATGCCAGCCATTCTCAAAAGTCCTCTGCCTTCTGAGGCTGAGACTAGGAGCAGCTGGCCTGCAAGGGAGGGACCTGCCCATCTTGGATAGTGACCACAACCTTTCTTAGCTCAGCTTGTTGCTAAAACTGAGAGCTGTCTCCCTGTGACTGTCTGAACATGCTCTGAGGCACAGGGCAGGGCAGAGTCCCAGGCACACATGCCAGGGGCTGCCAGCCTCCTGTCCCCTAGATGCTGCTAAGAGCTAACTGAGACCGGACCAAGGACGGGAGGAGGGCAGGGTCAGCAGTGGCACAGGCCAGGGCATAGAGCATGGGGCTAGCGAACCGGTTCCTTTGCTGGCCCCAGCTGAGGGTGAAAGCCAGGTGCTACCAACTGAAGTTGCAAGGATTGATAAACAGGCTTTTTAAAAACAGCGGCATTTTCTTCTTCTCAAAAACTCCACCTTTCTGATCGCACTGAGGTAACCTCCCCAAGTGTCACACATCAACCAGTTCAAGAAGGGACACCCACTCTAGTGGGCCACACACCTCATCTGCCCTGCCATTTTCTCCCTGTGAAAATGTCTTTCCCGACTCTGATGAGCCCTCGCACCAACGTGAGGCTGCCTGGGGTTTAGGGCTCAGATGCAGACCTCCAGAATATTCTGTAGGCTCTCGTGTTTCGTGATGCGACACCTCATCGAGGTCTTGGCACACGTGTTAGAGATGTCACAGGCCTCTTCTTTGGGGCTGAGGCGAGCTAGTGGGTGGGACTGCCATCTCTCCAAGGCCGTGCTTCTTCCTGAGTCCCCACTCCCAGTCACGAGTCACGCTTTTCCTCCGCTTTGCTTTGCAAGCACAGGCAGCCGCACTGTGGTGGCATTGTGGGGAGACACACCTGTTTGCCAAGGCTTGACTCTGGGTTCTCGGCTAGGCTTGTGGAGAGTCTCGGGCCCAGCTGCATCTCCCACTGTCGCAGAGAGGTGACAGCGTCACCGAGAGTCATTGCCATGGAGCGTGCAGGGGTGGGTTTGTGGTGTTGACACTCTGTTGCAACTAGTTTGAGGCTTTCAGAAAGGCTGGGAAGATGGACAGAGTGGAGCGCCGGGACGGGAGCCCCGCCCACCAGCTGCAGCTGGCCCGAGAGCTGCCAGCCTCACTGGGGCTGGAATCTCTTGGCAGCATGCTTCTGGGGGCTTTGCGTCGAATCCCGTGGGTCCGGGGTTATTGAGAACGGTCTGTTTCACTCCCGTTCTGCAATTTTGAGAATTTTAAAATTGGATTTTAGTCTAAACGTTCATTAAGCACCCTGGGTTTTTGTTTGTTTGTTTTTGTTTTTAAGGAAAAACAGCATTTTGCTTAGGTTCATGGTTAAAGAAAATAGTTCACATAGTAATTTAAAGTGAAGTTAGTGTGGCCTGGGCCTGTTGAACACTCAGTTTTGTGTTCAGTATTCTGTTCTCTCTCAAATGGGGCCAACAGCAGGGTGTCTGTGTGTCTGCTTGCCTGTTTTCTATGCCTCTCCCTCCCTCCTTCTCTCCCTCCCTCCCTCTCCCCCTGCTGAAGCCCAGCAGCGCCTGACGGACCCCTTTAATCTAGCAGATTCTGTGCTTTGTTTAGTCTCGGGGACTTGTGTGCCTTTGCAGTGACTCCATGTAATGCACTGGTTTGTTTGTTGATGGGCCAGGACTCGACCCAGAAGGCGAAAAGGCCTCAGGGGAAGGAGCAGAGGCCCCCACAGGCAAGACAGAAGAGGAGGAGGAAGAGGAAGACGAGGAGGAGGAGGAAAGTGTCCCAGGATGCACTTTGTTTATTAAGAACCTCAACTTCAGCACCACAGAGGAGACACTGAAGGAAGTGAGTGAGATTGGAGGGGGGCGGAGGGCTGTGAACCCCAGTCTGCGACCTGATGACAGCATACTGCCTGCCCTGCCTGTAGCTCTTGGGCCCCCTCATCCACCTCAGGGGTGGGTCCTCACGTCAGGGAGTGGTGGCAGCTTCGGACTACCTGTCTAGAAGGCAGCCGGTGACAGGAACCTGTCTTTGCAGGTGTTTTCCAAAGTGGGGGCTGTGAAGAGCTGCACCGTGTCCAAGAAGAAGAATAAAGCAGGTATTTATCCCGACTCGGCAGGAGCACTTCCTGAAGGAGCCTGTGACAGAGGAGATGAACCGCCACCAAGGCATCTCCTCTTGGCTTTCCAAGTGTCTCCACCCTCCTGTCTAAACTGGTCCCTGGTCTGCTTCAGGCCTCCTGCTCTGGGGCAGACCCAGCTGACCACACTGGGCTCTTCTCTCTCTAGAACTTTCCCTAACAGTGAGTGGCTTTGAAACAGTTCCACAGGGGCAGCAGTGTGGAGCAGAAGCCTCTGCTTCCTCCTTTACCTCTGTGTTCTGGAACTTTCCCAGGCATGTCAAGGAATGGCTGGCCTTGGGTTTTCCCAGGGAAAGACCCAGAGACAAGTTCTAGCGCATTCTAATAATTCATTAATCCTGTGCCTCCACAGCCAGTGGGCACATAGGCCTCATGTCTAACTGGCCCAAGGATTATCCTAGAGTCTCCTGGTGGTCCTCCTCCTGGCTTCCTGCAAGGCATGGGCAGAGCTAGGCCATCCCCATCCAGAGTCCCTTTGGTTAGGCAGGATTGGTGGGGATACCATGTGGGCTGGCCCAGCATGCTCCTGGGTAGTGATGAGGTGACTCATATGTTAGCGGGGGGCCACTAGGGAGTAAACAGACGTCCAGCAGAGTCAGGGGTCCATTGCCCCCTTCCACTTAGGTTGCTGTGACAGAGAGCCTAGTTTAGGGGTTAAAGTCACCATTGTATCATCTTATTATGGTTGAGACTGGAAAACCAAGATCAGTGTGCCTGCTGGCAGGTGTGGTTCCTGTGGGGAAGGAGTTGTCCAGCCCCCCATCTCCTAGCCTGTGGGTAGCCATCTCCAGGTCCATATGGCATTTTGGTTGTGTATGCCTGTCCTGGGTTCAAATTTTAGCTTATTTTTGAGGCAGGTTCTCCGTGTGTAAACCAAGCTGGCCTTGAATACACACTCCTGCTGTAGCCTGCCAAGTGTTGGGTTTATAGGCATGGGTCACGATGTCTGGCTTCTCCCCAGTTGGTAAAGGAACCCCACCTGTGCTGGATCAGGGTGCGCTATGATGACCTCACTTTACTCAATTACCTCAGTCAAGCACATGTCTCAAGCAAGGTTCCACTCTAAGGAACGTGGGCTTCCACACAAGCGCCTGGGGCACCCGGTACTGCCTGCATCCCCGGCCTTCAGGAACTTCAAACCAAGTGTGGGACACGAGCACATACAGCGGTGTACACATACAGACACGGGTTCTAAAGGCATGAGTCCGGTAGAGTGTCCTCCGGAGCTCCTGCTACCCACCTAATGCTCCTTGTACTCTAGAACAGGAAAGAGCCGTGGTCAGCCTCCCTGTCCCGACTGTGTCTGTTACCAAGGACCCAGGTGTGGTCGGCAGCACCGTGGTCAGCCTCCCTGTCCGGACTGTGTCTGTTACCAAGGACCCAGGTGTGGTCGGCAGCACCGTGGTCAGCCTCCCTGTCCGGACTGTGTCTGTTACCAAGGACCCAGGTGTGGTCGGCAGTACCGTGGTCAGCCTCTCTGTCCGGACTGTGTCTGTTACCAAGGACCCAGGTGTGGTCGGCAGCACCGTGGTCAGCCTCCCTGTCCCGACTGTGTCTGTTACCAAGGACCCCGGTGTGGTCGGCAGCACCGTGGTCAGCCTCCCTGTCCGGACTGTGTCTGTTACCAAGGACCCAGGTGTGGTCGGCAGCACCGTGGTCAGCCTCTCTGTCCGACTCTGTTACCCAGGAACCAGGTGTGGTCAGATGTCAGATGCATGTAGAAGAAGAGAGGCCTCACTGTCCACACTTGTCTTCACCTCTGCCTTAGGCATGGCGGCACCCTGGCCAGGTTGAGGCTTCGCTGCCTGTTACAGCCATGGTCATCCCTGTTACTTCCCACTCCCTCTGAAAGGCAAACTCTGATTAGGAAGTTAATTATCATATCGGTTATCTGCTGGTTACTAGCCAAGCAGGCCTGAGGTGACAGCCCTGTAGCTCCACTGCGATTCACCTCCCCGCCTGGTCGTGTCTCAGCACGAGCTGAGGTCTTCTTTTGAAGGAAGAGGGGTGTGAGAAGGGAAGAGACACTAAGTGTGGGTCGGAGTCTTCACAAGTGGTCTGGGCTGTGCTGAGCTCCGCCCACACCCCCTTTCTCTCTCCCTCTCTCCCTCAGGAGTGCTACTTTCAATGGGGTTTGGGTTTGTGGAATACAAGAAGCCGGAGCAGGCCCAGAAAGCCCTCAAGCAGCTCCAGGTAAGCCGGGGGTCCTGGGCCATCATGGTGAGACCATGGTCCAAGAAAGATTAAGGGCCTTTCTCACCCCTCCGTGGTCACTCCGACTCATTTATTCTTTTACCGTGGTTCCAAACATACTCTATCTAGTTTGCAGGCTCTTTATGGAATGTTCTAACCCAGCAGAGCCACCCATAAGCTAGGCTCTGACTGCAGTCCCTAGCCGCAGAGCTGGCACATTAGCAGAATGACCCTGGGAAATCCCTCAGATATCCCAGGAAATACAGCCGTCTGCCTATCAGATATTCTGTCGGACCGTGACTGTGAACTAGACTCGCTCCTTCCTCTGCTGGGAAAGACAGGCTTCTGACCTGAACAAATGTGCAGGAGCAGAGTCATAGGTGCTCCGTGAAAATAGCGCCTCCCCCGGGGACTCCTTCAGAAAACACAAAGAGGGTGAGCCGATACCTGTCCTGGCAGAGACGTCAATGCTCAGAGCTCTAGGAGGGAGCAGCCAGTGGGTGGGGATAGCAAGTGCAGAGGCCTGAGGCAGGAGCTCTAGGTGTGATGGGGCAGGATGGGGAGCAGCCTTCTGGGAAGGAGGTGAGGAGAGAGGTGTGGAAGGCTAGACCTTCTTATAGGTCCTTTGGAGGGCTAGCATCTGTCCCAAAGACAGTGGGAGACTGGGGCTCTGAGTTGTTTTTTAGGACAGTTTCCTGTCTGCTGTGAGGAGCATGGATAGTTCGGAAGTGACTAGGGAGCCCTTGCACCCCTCACAAGACATCACCCTAGCTTGGACCAAGGTGAAAGTTAGGAGAAGGGCTGAGAAGTGTCTAGACAACGAAATGGACTAGGGCCTTTGGCAGCCCTAGAGGGTCCTGAACTTCGCTTAAGAAGACAGCCACAGGCCTAACACTCAGGAGGATCTCTGAGTTCCAGACCAGCCTGGTCTACATACCAGGTCGTAGGCTAGCCTATGTAGTATCACGTGCAGGTCATAGCTAACTACATAGTAGCCCTGTGTCAAAAAAAAAAAAAAAAAAGACAGAGCTTTCTGCATTGGCAATCATCATAGGCCATGCAGGGTAGAGGACGCAGCTCGACATGTGCCTTGTGAAGTTTTGTGGGATTTTTTTGTTTGTTTTTTAGCTAGAAAGCCTACTTTGTTCCTGCACCCCATGTCCTCATTTAACTCACATTGAACTCTGCAAATGGTGGTCCATATTTTCTCTTTCATGTTTCTCAAGAGTCGGTAGCCGGGCATTTGCATGCACGCCGTGTGCTGTTCTGTGCACGAACGTGTGTGCACATCACTGTCAGGGATCGTGCGTCCAAAGCCCCACACGCTGTATTTCCTGGGATATCTGAGGGATTTCCCAGGGTCATTCCGCTAATGCTCCAGCTTTGCAGCTGGGGACTGCAGTCAGAGCATAGCTTGCACATGGCTCGGGTGGGTTGGGACGTTCCGTAAAGAGCCTGCAAGCCAGAGTGAGCTGTCTGCATGCTGGACCTGCGGGCTCCTCTCTGAGAATGCCTCTAATGGTTGGAAACGGCTCCCTGGGCCACTAGAAGATCAGGAGTGCATTAGGAGGCTGGGTCTCTGGCCGCCTGCTGAGTGTCAGCCTTTCTGTTGAAGCCGTCTCCGTCCTTGATCTCCACCAAACCCTCTGGGTGGCTGGAGAAGGGCAAGCATGGGTAAGTGACCGGGCCTGGTCATTTTGTGTTCTAGGGTCACGTCGTGGACGGCCATAAACTGGAAGTGCGGATCTCCGAACGGGCCACTAAGTGAGTCCTCAGGTGTCTCCTCTGTCCTTGGATGGGTGGCAGCTCTCTCTGTCTGACCTTGGTGCTGATGGTTAAGTGCCTCCACACACCCCAATTCCTCTGCCACTTGGGGTTCTTTCCAATTAGCGTTTCACTTGCCAGCTTTGATACCCATTTCCCTGCCCGACCGGACCAGTCAGTGTCCATCCCCTGCGTAGTGAGCTTAGACATGCAGACATGTTTTTAGAATAGAGGAGCGGGGGGCCCTGGGAGTGTAGCTCAGGGGCAAGGTGTTAGCCCCGAAGGCACAAAGGCCCTCCCTCATGGGGTTCCTTCTCATGGTCCTCCTTATGGGACAGCAGCAATGGGCTGCATTGATCAGGGAGCCACAGGAGTTTGGGAGAGAAAGTGACTTCCGCCCCTGTCACCCCGAAGTGGAAGATATCCTGACTTCCTCTGCTTCCATCATAGCCCCTTCTTAGGCCACTTGAAGTGACAGGGAGGTGTGTTTTGTTGGGGAAGGGGGCAACATCGGTCTAGGTATGAACAGTTCACACCCCCAAATAACCTGTTGTTCCCCCATCCCACCCCAGGCCTGCCTTGACATCCACTCGTAAGAAACAGGTCTCCAAGAAGCAGACGACCTCAAAGATTCTGGTGCGGAATATCCCCTTCCAGGCCAACCAGAGGGAAATCCGGGAGCTTTTCAGGTGGGTCCACGCACTGGGCTGTGGGCACAGCGCCCCCTGGAGGCTGGGAGGCCGCCCAGGTCCTGACGGTGCCACTGTAGCACAGTGGGGCTTTCCAAACTGCCCTGGAAGCTTGAGTACCCTGGCCCCCTCTCTCAGAGGCAAGAGGGTGACGAGGTGTGTGCCCGCACCCCAGGGCTGTCACCAAACTTCAGGAGGGACAGCAGTTCTAGTGGCTGCAGCCTGTGGTTCCTCTGTGTGATTTACTAACGTCCCAGAGAGTCAGTGCCTTCAGGGAGGGGCGGGAGCTAATGTCCTGACGGGAAGAAAACGCTTGATCTCGGTTGCTCTCTGGCAAAAGCCATTTGGGGAAGTCGTTGGATGTCCTACACACAGAACACAGGACATGGTCTCTGTTAGCATAGGAGGCCGACTTGGGGGCCAGGCAGGTGGTGAGACTTGGAGACAGACTGTCTGGGACAGAGTGGAAGCTGCAGGGCTCTTCTCTCTGGCCTTGACGCCAGGCAGGAACCTAGATTTAGTCAGGCCCATTCTGCTCATGGTTTGGAAGACTTTAGAGGTCTTTTCAAGTTTGATCCCCCCCCCGCCCCGAACTTTTTTGTTTTATGTCTGTGAGTCGCTTGTGCTTGTGAACACGTGCCTGCAGTGTTTTCAGAGGTCAGAGAAGGGTGTCAGATCCCCAGAACTGGAGTTACAGGTGGTGGTGAGCTGCCATGTGGGCACTAGAGAAGAACACAGATCCTCTGGAAGAGCAATAGTGCTCTCAACCACTGAGCCATCTCTCTGACCCCCCATCAGTCTGAATTCTCACAGGGGATCCCCGGGGGACCGATGGATTCTTTAAAAACAAACCGCACAGGCCTCCGGCTGCTCATGCCTTCCATACATGCATAGTAGAGCATTTTGATTGGGAAGTTGCTTAGATGGTCCTGCACTGAACCCCAAACTGAAGGAGACGTTTCTGTGATCCCATAAGAAGGGGGTGCTGTGTGTCTTCAGGACATCAGTTGGGCGAGTTCCCCCCTCCATGCAGATTGCTGAGGCTCAGCTCGGGTCTTAGAGTACTTACGGGCCCTGAGTCCCCATCTCATCTGCCACTGCCTACAGAGGCCCAGGGAAGAGCCACGGCAGTGGAGCCGCTCAGCCCCTGCTTGTCACTTTCTCAGGTGATGTGTCTGGTAGAGTGACCCGTCAGCGTCTTGCGAGGCACAGTGGCTGCAGGAGGAGCGCCGAGTTGGAGAGGGATTTGTCTTTGTGAGACTTGCGTCTTTACTCTTGCTGTGAGGTTAAGAGAGGGTGATGCTGTTCGGGGAATCGGCTTCAAAACTCTCCCCTTGTGTCCGCGTTCTCCACCATCCCCCGGGGTGGGGGCGTTCACAGCCGCGGTCAGGTCCGCGTCCCTTCCCTCTAATGTCTGAGCCGGGGTGCCTGGTGAGACAGGTCACAGCTGAGGGCGAGGGGGCGGTTTTCCTGTACCCTCATCCAGAGCGTCAGCCAAAAGGAGAGTGAGAGCATCGGCTCGGTGCTTGCCTGCCGTGACTCTGCTTCTAAAAAGAGTCTAGTCTCACAGTCTCACGGCTGCCACATCCAAAGGAGTGCCTAAGGACGGTGCGTGGTGATGGGGAACACATCCCCCAGAGATGACAGTGTCACTTGGTTCCACGGTGTATTGGGGATGACATTTATCCAGGGAAACAAAAGACGGCAAGGCAGGAGGAGGGGCTTTGTTTGATCTGTGCGTTATACGTCTATTTAGTAGACAGGGAATTAGTGTCTGCTGGATGTACTTACACGTGGTGTCTCTTCCTCTCCGCCATTGTTCTGTCTGAGCAGTCATAAACCCTGAAGCTGGAACCCTCCTCCTCCAGGACAGGCCCTGCCTTGCTTTTGTTAGCCTCCCAGCAGACTGAGATCTGAGGCCCATCGCAGTGGTGGACAGTAGGGGTCACTGTGAGCCTTCCCTGGGATGCAAGGCTTGCGCTTCAGGCCTGAGTCTAGACAAAGCCACTGGCCAGCCAGAGGTCACTAACTGACGGAAGGCTTTGGGATTGACCTCCTCTGTCGGGCAGGATTTGGGGGGCTTTTCCTGACAGATATGATCAAACTCACAACCCACATTCCAGGTATGTACCTGTATGCTGGGCTCTGTGCTGGGTGCCTGCCATGCTAGATCTGCTTGACGCTTGCAGCCCTGGACATGGGAGGGCTTCTGCTGTGCCCAAAGGAAACTCAAGACACAGTCTACCCAAGGCTGCACATCTGGGCTAACATATGACTTCCAGGGCCCTGACCCAGAACTTGTTTTTTTCAAATCTGTTGTCCTCCCAGGTCTAGGAGGATTTGTCACCCCCAAGTTGTCATGGTGGAGATGCTGTGTGGCGAATGTGTGATTATATGAGGCACTGTGCTAGATGCCAGGGAACGCAGCTGTATCAGGAGGGTCCTGAGTCTCCTCTCTCCTGCCAGTGCCTGCAGAGGGCCAGGCCAGAAGCATGTGAGAACACAGGGCCAGTGTGGCAGGTCTTAGCACCATCTGCTGGGGCAGGACAGCATTTACTGGCCCCTATCTGGAGGCCCCACTGGCCCCTGGACTCCATCAGTTCCCGCAGTACCGGGAGGAGGCACTGTGGGGCCCCGTGCCTGTGGGAACCCCATCAGGAGTGATTTAAGAGTCACCTTCAGACTGAGCCGTCAGTGGCGCCTCTCTGGTGTACACGCTCTGGGCCTCGGTGTCTCGTCATACAATAACTGTGCCGATGCCGGTGGTGTGCGTATAATAGCTGTGCCGTGTCATAACATGTAACGATTGTCACCGTAGAGGGCACCAGGCACTGGGGCTGAGCACTTCAAGTTACCAACATCCCCTGCTGCTGCAGTCTGCAGTCGTTACAAGAGCATCCGTTTTCCAGGGAGAAACTGCTCCCAAGCCCAGATCTAAGCCACCCACTGTGGTCAAGTGCCTCCAGCTGCCTCAGTTCCCTCCCCAACCAGGTGGCTTCCCCAGGGGCTGTTAGAGGCTCTGTGAGGTCACCCAGGTCACAGTGGGTGGCCAAGTGTTGACCGGTTCAGCATCACCAAAACAGTAGGAGCAAGATTTGAATCCAGGGCCTGGCTCCAGCCAGAGCCTGTGTCTTTACCCACAGTGCAGACTCCTCAAAGGTTCTCTGTAGCTTTCTCACTGTCTCCTCCTTTCCCTGCGTCCTTGCCTCCCACACTGCCATTCCCTCTGCCCCATCAGCCCGCAGGGATGCCTGAGGGACCCATCGGCTGCCCCTCCACCCTGAGAACCAGTGGTTCTCAACCTTCCTAATGCTGTCACCCTCTAATATCCTTCTTCATGTGGTGGTGACCCCCACCCATACCGTTGTTTCATTTCATTGCTTCACCCGTACAGTTGTTTCATTGCTGCTTCATAGCTATAATTTTTGCGACTGTTGTGAATCATAATGCAAAATATCTGGTGTGCATGATATCTGACGTGCAGTGTTTGACACACCCCCCCCCCCAAGGGGTCAAGGCCAACAGGTTGAGAACCACTGCTGTAGAGGGACTCGCAGGGGTGCTCCAGACAGTCCACCTTGTATGTGCATACACTGCCACTCAGACTTTGCAGCTGCAGCCATAGGCACAAGCTCCAAGTACCCCATTGTCTTCCTTAGCGAGGCCTTGCCTAGAGTCCCCAGTTTCAGGAAAGCAAGAGTCTCCCCTCCCAGGAAGGAGGTCCTGTGGGGCTGGTCTTGTGGACACGTGGCCTGCAGAGTCACATGAGGCTCCACACCTGGTTTGGTGTCTGTTGTGAAATCTGGTAAGTGGTTTTTCACAGGGCACAGGGACCTGCCAGCTGTGTGGCAGGAAGATTAGGATGTTTGGAGCCAGAGCACAGTTTGACAGTCAGCCAGCCTCCATTTTCTCATCCATAAGAGAGGAACCATAACTTGACTCCTGCTAAATCCCTGCTCTGGCAGCAAAGGGGAGGGGTGGACAGACAGACAGGAGGGAGGGAGGGTCGCCAGTGACATCTTCAGTCTGGTGGGCAGGTTTCAGAACTGTAGGTGGACTTTTCTGTTCCTCCAGCCAGTTCCCAAATAACCACACAGAGATTTATTATTAATTATAAATGCTCAGCCAGTAGCTCAGGCTTATTGTAGCTAGAGTTTTCCTGCCTGGCCCACAGTCAGGACAAATCTCTCTCACCCGCCAGTCCCAAGCCGCTCAAACCCGATCAAGTAAACACAGAGACTTATATTGCTTACAAACTGTATGGCCGTGGCAGGCTTCTTGCTAACTGTTCTTACAGCTTAAATTAATCCATTTCTATTAATCTATACCTTGCCACGTGGCTTGTGGCTTACCGGTACTTTACATCTTCCTTGTCCTGATGGCGACTGGCAGTGTCTCCCTCTCCAGCTTCCTGTTCTCTCAATTTTCCTCTCTGTTAGTCCCGCCTATACTTCCTGCCTGGCCACCGCCAATCAGTGATTTATTCATTGACCAATCAGCAACACATTTGACATACAGACCATCCCACAGCACCTCCCCTTTTCTTTTCTTAAAAAGGAAGGTTTTAACCTTTACACATCTCCAAAGTCAGCTTGGTATATTTGGGAATTTGGGCGTAGCTTCTCTTACTACTTCCTGCTGGAGGGGGGCGCTGTATCTTCTGGGGAAACAAAGAAAATTTTAGGATCATGGAGTAGTCCGTGAGGCTGTATCATCTGAGCCAGTTGTCTTGAAACGGTTCTGGATGTTGGATCATCTGGGCCATGGTGTCATCGGAGACCTTTCAGGGGGTCTTGGCTGGTCAAACCTGATGTATCTTACTCTGGAACAAATCCATAGCCTCTTGCTTTCTGTGGAAACAAAAGAGACTCTTTTCCAAAGCAACATATCCTTACATCCAAATTTTGAAGTCAAAGTATCTTTAAAATATACGTACTGGTTTAACTCAGCTTCCTTTACAATCAAACATCTCTCTGTAGTTAAGAATCCCAAAGACAACA